TCCTTTCTAATGAATACTAGTACGCCCAGTCCAGAAAACTGCAAATATCCTGCAAACCTGCAAATAACTCTGATGAACCAAATCATTCAGAGATGAATTAGCATGATTAGAAGATCTTGTATAATCTCAGATGTACAGTATTTAAACAATGTACAAAGAATGTTCATTTTTCTTGTCATGCAGTATTTAATTTGAAATCCAGAAAAAGGGTTTTGTTAGGCACCACTGAACCATATCTGAATCATTAATGTTGGAAAAAAATAATTTGTTCTTGCTCATATATATATATATATATATATGCATATACATATTGACAGCGCGGGTTAAACAAGTATTGAACACGTCACCATTTTTCACAGTTAATATATTTCTATAGGTGCTGTATGACATGAAATTTTCACCAGATGTTGGTAACAACCCAAGTGATCCATACATACAAAGAAAACAAAACAAATAAGTTCAGAAAATAAGTTATGTGTATTAAAATGGAATGACAGGGGAAAAGTATTGAACTACTGAATTTTATTTAATACTTTGTACAAAAGCCTTTGTTGGTAATGACAGCTTCAAGAAGCCTCCTGTATGGAGAAACTAGTCGTATGCATTGCTCAGGTGTGATTTTGGCCCATTCTTCCACAGAGTCTTCAAATCTTGAAGGTTCCATGGGCCTCTTCTATGAACTCTGATCTTTAGTTCTTTCCATAGATTTTCTGTTGGATTCAAGTCAGGTGATTAGCTGGGCCACTCTAGCAGCTTTATTCTTTTTCTGAAACCAATTGAGAGTTTCCTTGGCTGTGTTTGGGATCATTGTCTTGCTGAAATGTCCACCCTTCTTTCATCTTCATCATCCTGGTTCTGTAGGTGTTGGGACTGAACCAGCTAAAATTAATTTCCACTGACAAGGGGCAGGATTGCTTTCTAATTACTGATAGATTTCAGCTGGTGTCTTGGCTTTCCATGCCCTTTTTGCACCTCCATTCTACATGCGTTCAATACTTTTTCCCTTTGTCATTCCACTTTATTACACAGAACTTAATTTCTGAACTTATTTTTGTTTTCTTTCTAAGTATGGATTACTTGGGTTATTATCGACGTCTGTTGAAAATCAAGTCAACAGCACCTTTAGAAAAATTTCATCACCTTTAGAAATATATTTACTGAGAAAAATGGTGATGTGTTCAGTACTTATTTTACCCGCTGTATGTATGTGTGTGTGTGTATATATATGTATATGAGCAAGAACAAATAGTTTTTCCAACATTAATGATTCAGATATGTTTCAGTGTTGCCTTTTAATCACATTTTTTTTATCAATCTCTTTAGGACACAAAACTTCATTGCACGAAGAAGTGGAAGCATTACTATCCAACATTTGATATAAAGTTGCCAGATGGTGTGATGGATGTGGGTTTACACCTCAAAAAGGAAAACCCCAAGGAAGGAAAGGTTGAAGTTGTATGGAGCCGTGACATAACACTGACAGGTAAGATACTTTACTGTTTGTGTGAGTGGAATACAAAAGTTTAGGAAGCAAATTACTGACATGACAACAATTCACCTGAAGTGAATTATCATCACAGACATTGGATGCTCTTTGCATGTTCAATTTGTATGCTAGATTGCGACAATTTGTTGCACTGATTTACATGAGCAAATGCACAATGTTAAATATGCATACATTTGTAAAAGTTTTTTTAAATAAAGTGAATCATACTGATAATCTCATAAATTGAAAATGAAGCAGATATTAACAAAGTTTTTATCTTACAGACTATACAGCAGAAAACAGCAGCCTATGAACAGAGGAGCGGTGTAAGCACATAACCTAAAAACATAATCTTAGATTTACATTTGAGTCAGCTAGTAGCCCGTTTTAGAATTGTAGTGGAACAAATGATTAGCTTCTATTTTCTCTCAGAAACATTTGAATATATTGTATAAATTAAATGTGTTGATGACTACAGGTGTATCCTTTCTGAAAACAACAAAGCTGAGCTTATCCAAAGAGTGAGAAATGTTAATGTCATTTTAGATCACCTTGGTGACATTAATGCAAATGAACAGGTAAATAAAATCAGAGCAATGGCAACATCTCTGGAAAAAAATGAGGGACATCTTTGAGATCATAGAAGGACAAGGTCTTTCATCAGAATGGAAGTTTTTCAACTTGCTTTAGAAGGCAGAACCAGCTCTTATGAAAGATATGATTACAGCCAACAACTAAGGCCACTGATGCATGTGAGATGAACGATAGAAAAACTGAACAGAATAAAAATGTTTTAATTTGTTATTTTCAAACTCTTGCTATAATACTGTATGTAAAAGCATGTGATATTGACCAGAGTATCTGACAGTCTTTTAATATTTTTTGAGCTGTACTGCTTCTGCTGTAGTGAAATGTGAAAATGTTTTGTGATTCAATGGGTTTGTCCAATTTACGATCACCTGTAAGGTAAATAATAGTAGAAGTGACATTTAGAATATAATATATTTTATTTCCTATTTCACTTTAATATAAAGAGGTGCTGTACTGTAGATTATCTTCAAATTATAAATGTTGTTAATTCAAATGTATGTTAAGTTTGGAATAATATAATCTTGATTTTTATTTACAGCAATTTGGTTAAGTTCTTTAATAGCATTAATATTTGTAACTAAAACTAACACAACAAGTGGGATTTTGTGAAATGTGGTTATAAAAAAAGAATAGACTATTCATTACTATTAAACTATTTGATGTTCTAAATGATATTGCTGATGCTTATGATACAATGTTTAATTTATAAATGCAAATGTTTGATGACTGTCCCGTCATACTCAAACCAATTTGTTAAAACAAATATGGTTTATCACTTTAACCTTTTTGATTGTTGTTATAGGCTATCTGAAGTATGTGCATGTTGCTTGAGTTTGTTCTCAGTCTGTACTATTGTTACAAGGTCTGAATGCGAATAAAACAACAACAACTCAATTTCCAGTCAATTATTATCGGTATGGTCAAGGATTAAAAAAACTACAAAAAAAAACTCAATATCCCATGAACCTCATGTGTACACTCAACCCCGGAAGTAGATTGTTCTCTTAGCATGGCGCAAATGAATACTTTGCAATAGTGATTGCTAGTACTAGTGAATTTGTAAGAAATTAATAATATGGATATGTAATTTCCACGTGAGACGTTATCATAAAAAAGACTGAGTAAGGTAAAAGGCGTTTTGTGCTTTAACTCTTTTCTTGCCTAAAAGTTTGCCTATTAGCGTCAGCGCTAACCGACGGGTTTTAAGGCTATGGAATTTAATTCCCCACATTTTATAGAATTTAAAAGAATTTAAGGTGTCGGTGTTATTCATCATTTACTAAATACGCTAATTTAGGATAGTCGGGAAGCCTGAAATCTGACTATAGTGAGCCCAATTTTGTTATGAAACAATTAACTAGGTACACATTTCTGTGTAGCCTGTGTAAGCTAGACATTCCTAAAATTATTTCAGCCGTTAATTTGCATCATGGACATTGTATACCCCATCATTTTTTTCTCACTTTTGGAGTATTTACTCGAGTAACTTTAGTGGAGTAGGAGATGCTGAAAAAAAAAGCACTGATGGTAACTAAGTGTACTGTTTAATATTACAGTACATTACTTAATTAAATCTGTCTAAAATTCGTATGCTCTAATATCTGTCTAAACTGTAACCAGTAGGCTTGATAAATAAAGACATAATACTGTGGCCCTGATACTGAAGTCAGTGATGTTTAAATAATTGTGTAACAATTGCATTATATTATATACTGCATACCATTGTATACTGTAATAATCCTGTATTTCTTTAATGTAAAAGTAGTAAGCACCTTAAGGAATTACTTTTCTTGCCTAAATAATCTAATGGCTGAACTGACAGTTGACCTTCGTAGATTAGGGCAATGTCTTTGTTTCGTCTTGCATTTATTTGATTTGTGCTTCTTGTATTAAGGCAGGACACCACAGGTTAAACATTTTAACTAATAGATACCACTATACTTCTTCCTTGTTATTAATCACACAGTACTTTAAAATGTTTAGCATTACAAGTGTTCTGAAATGCATAACTATGCAAATGATGCATTATTTAATTAAAGTTACACAAATTTGCATACATTCACAGACATCTGATGCACTTTTTTTAGATTTTATTGTGATGGCGTCAGGCGTGGGAGAACAAGCGCATGGTAGTGTGGCCTCCCAGTTCTCCAGCAATGAGAACGACACAGCCTTTGACATGACCACCAGCGAGAAGGTAACAACACACTGGGCCATCATTACTTATTACATTTACATTTACATTTAGTCATTTAGCAGACGCTTTTATCCAAAGCGACTTACAATTGGGGGATACATAAAGCGATTCTTCTTAAAGAGGCAAACAGACACAAGAAGTGGTTGTAATACCAAGTTCTTAGACATTGTTCAAATAAGTACAAGCTAGAAAGAGAAGGAATAAAAAAAAGGAGAGATACTTTTTTTTTTTTTTTATGATGAAGTCAAGTAGCTTCGAAAGAGATGA